TACCCCCACTACGTCACACAGGGTCAGGCAGTGTGAGGGCTCTTTGGAGGCAGGCTCTTGTGTGGCCTTGGGAAAGTGGGATAGCACATGCAGTGTGAGGGCTTTTTGGAGGCAGGCTCTTGTGTGGCCTTGGGAAAGTGGGATAGCGAGTTGCTCCATGACCATGGATTGCTGGGTTAGACCCATGTGCAAACAGGCCCTGATGATCCATGGCAGGGGATGCGTTAATGTCCAGCTCTTGTGGCTTTCCCAGAAATCCTCCCGCAGTGACCTGAATGTCCCTGGGAAGGGCTGTCTGCTGTGTCTGCCTATTTAACATCTTTGTTTTTTCTCCCCTGGCGTCTGTGTCTGGGTGGTGCTGAGTCCTGCCTCCTGCTGCTCTGGGTGAGAATTCCCAGCACCCAGGAATAACAGAACATGCTGCGCAGGGCAGACATAGAAACAGGACTTTCAGGGGTAACAGGGTGGAGTCAAATGTCAGTAATCTGAGAGTTTTCTGAGAAGTTCTTCCTGCTGTGCACTCAGCTCCCCATGAAAGGGCCCCGGGCTCCATCCGTGCCCTGACCAGCACTTTCCCTGTTTTCATACAGAAACAGACACAAGCCGAGAGGCAGAAGATTGTGGCTAAGTTTCAGCAGCTGCAGCAGTTCCTGGAGGAACAAGAGCGACTCCTGCTGGCCCAGCTGGAGAAGCTGGATGAGGAGATTGGGAGGCTCCAGACTGACACTGTCAGGAAACTCTCCGCGCAGATTTCCCGTCTCAGTGAGCTGATCAGTGAGCTGGAGGGGAAGTGTCAGAAGCCAGCGAGTAAATTCCTGCAGGTGAGATTGAGGGAGAAACATCCCAGGTCCCCACACAGGAAAGGGAGGCTACTGAACCACTGGTACTGGGGTCCAGCCGTCAGATCTGCGTGTAACTTGGCAGGTGCATTGCTGCCATGTGAGTGACTGTTGTGCTTTGCAGACACAGCTATTAGAGATGGCAAAGCCCCATTTGCTCAAGGGATCCATGGCCCTGAGGCCAGAGTAGGGCCACTTGTTGCCATGTTTGTAAAAGCCCTTCCCTGGAGTCTCCTGTGCGTGTCCAGTGGGGCTGAGATTATTTTCTGTCTCTCTTTTCTCTAGGATATCAGAAGCACCTTGAGCAGGTACGTGGCTCTCACTCCCCTCACACTGCACAACACTGGAGAGGAGCTTGGCGCTGATTTCGCACCACATCTCTGCAGGACTCTGGATCAGGGGTCTCCAACCTTTTTAAGCACAAGATCACTTTTTGCATTTAAGTGCAATGCACAATCTACCTCAAACCCAAATACCCTTGCCTTGCCTCGCCTCCCCCATACCCCTTCTCCGAGGCCCTGCCCCTGCTCACTTTGTCCTCCCCCCTTCCCTTCCTTTCACCAGGCAGGGGCAGCGGGTTGGGGTGCAGGCTTTGGTCTTGGGCTAAGGAATTTGGAGTGTGGGAGGGGCTCTGAGCTGAATCTGGGGCAGGTAGTTGGGGTGCAGGAGAGGGTTCAGGGTACAGGCTCTGTAAGGGAGTTTAGGTCTAGGGGGCTTGGGGTGCAGGAGGGGGTTCATGACAGGGTTTTGGAGCTGGCTCCAACTGGACACTGCTTACCTAGGGTGGCTCTTGGGTGGTGGTGCAGCTGGCTAAGGCAGGTTCACCCCTGTCCTGGCCCTGTACTTCTCTCAAATCTCCCTCCATCCCAAGCCCTGTTGTGCCCTTTTATTCTGTGGAGATAGAACACAGTGTGGGAGAGGGCACCCTGACCACAACCCCTTCCCTGTACCACAAGCAGGAGGCTCCTGGGGAGGGGATGCTCCAAGGCAAAGGGCAGGAAATGAGCAGCAGTGGTGGGAGGGGCAGTTGAAGTGCCAGCACTTGGTAGCCACTTGGCCAAACCCGTCAGGATCACCTGTCAGAGGCTCCAGAATCTACCAGCAGATCCCGATAAACTGGTTGGTGACCACTGCTCTAGAGTAAAGTGTGTGGGGAAGGTCACATGTCGGGTACAAATGTCTCTGACTCACTTAATTCTGAGGGTCTCACCCTTGCACAGCAGGCTCTGGAATTCTCCATTCAGGGCACAGTTTGACCTCAAATGTTTCCTGGAGCTGTCACCTCCCTGGGGACTGGCTGCCTCAGGGCTGTGGGGTGGGACATGGGTCTGTCACTGCTGGGCACTGGGCATATTCAGCCCAGGGTAGCAAGGACCAAAAGTCTGTCCCACCCGAGGGCTGTTTGGAGACCTGTATGGAAGGAGCTGGGGAGGGGGGAGCTGGTATCTCAGTCTAGTCCCTAGTGGTTAGATTTCGACAGCGCTTCACCTGCGAACCTCCTGTCCCTCAGTTTCTGGAGGCCAAGGAGTGAATTACACTGGAGAGGAGCTTGGCGCTGATTTCGCACCACATCTCTGCAGGACTCTGGATCAGGGGTCTCCAACCTTTTTAAGCACAAGATCACTTTTTGCATTTAAGTGCAATGCACAATCTACCTCAAACCCAAATACCCTTGCCTTGCCTCGCCTCCCCCATACCCCTTCTCCGAGGCCCTGCCCCTGCTCACTTTGTCCTCCCCCCTTCCCTTCCTTTCACCAGGCAGGGGCAGCGGGTTGGGGTGCAGGCTTTGGTCTTGGGCTAAGGAATTTGGAGTGTGGGAGGGGCTCTGAGCTGAATCTGGGGCAGGTAGTTGGGGTGCAGGAGAGGGTTCAGGGTACAGGCTCTGTAAGGGAGTTTAGGTCTAGGGGGCTTGGGGTGCAGGAGGGGGTTCATGACAGGGTTTTGGAGCTGGCTCCAACTGGACACTGCTTACCTAGGGTGGCTCTTGGGTGGTGGTGCAGCTGGCTAAGGCAGGTTCACCCCTGTCCTGGCCCTGTACTTCTCTCAAATCTCCCTCCATCCCAAGCCCTGTTGTGCCCTTTTATTCTGTGGAGATAGAACACAGTGTGGGAGAGGGCACCCTGACCACAACCCCTTCCCTGTACCACAAGCAGGAGGCTCCTGGGGAGGGGATGCTCCAAGGCAAAGGGCAGGAAATGAGCAGCAGTGGTGGGAGGGGCAGTTGAAGTGCCAGCACTTGGTAGCCACTTGGCCAAACCCGTCAGGATCACCTGTCAGAGGCTCCAGAATCTACCAGCAGATCCCGATAAACTGGTTGGTGACCACTGCTCTAGAGTAAAGTGTGTGGGGAAGGTCACATGTCGGGTACAAATGTCTCTGACTCACTTAATTCTGAGGGTCTCACCCTTGCACAGCAGGCTCTGGAATTCTCCATTCAGGGCACAGTTTGACCTCAAATGTTTCCTGGAGCTGTCACCTCCCTGGGGACTGGCTGCCTCAGGGCTGTGGGGTGGGACATGGGTCTGTCACTGCTGGGCACTGGGCATATTCAGCCCAGGGTAGCAAGGACCAAAAGTCTGTCCCACCCGAGGGCTGTTTGGAGACCTGTATGGAAGGAGCTGGGGAGGGGGGAGCTGGTATCTCAGTCTAGTCCCTAGTGGTTAGATTTCGACAGCGCTTCACCTGCGAACCTCCTGTCCCTCAGTTTCTGGAGGCCAAGGAGTGAATTGGCCATGGAGACTCAGTTCCCCTTTTGTCCCCCAGCTGGTCTCCCCAGGCCAGAGCTGCAGACTATTCATGGGACCTTTGAAGGGATGTTGCAGGACCAAGGGCTGTGCTGCCCCTGCTCTCGGGCTGGGAGAACTGGAGGATTCGAACTCCAGGCCCAGCAGATCAGCGACTCACTGGCCAGAGCTGGAGAACTGCGTCACTCAGTGCAGAGTCACCATGTGAGGTTGTCTCTCTCCAGGTGTGAGACGGGGCCGTTCCAGCCACCAGAGGAGATTTCCCCTGAACTGGACGAGCAAGTCAGTGGTTTCTCCCAAGCAAACGATTGCGCTGTCGGAGACTCTGAGGGAGTTCACAGGTACCTAGAAGAGATCAAGGAGGGAAAAGTGACAGTTCTCAGAGGGACTGAACCCCTTGCCTCCTTCTGTTGATAAACAAGCCTCCTGATCCAAAGGCGGAGCTGGAAGTAGCCCAAACTCTCTTACAAGTCAGAGCTGCCTCTGGAGATTTTGGGTTTTAAGCAGATCTCAAGCATGAATCATAGAACCATAGAGCTGGAAGAGACCTCAGAAGGCCATCAAGTCCAGCCCTCTGCTCTGGGCAGGACCAATCCCAACTAAATCAATCCGGCCAGCGCTTTGTCAAGGCGAGACTTAAACACCTTCAGGTTTAAGACTCTACTACTTCCCTAGGTAACCCATTCCAGTGCTTCACTACCCACCTAGTGAAATAGTTTTTCCTAATATCCAACCCGGATCTGTCCCACCACAACTTGAGACCATTGTTCCATGTTCTGCTATCTGTCACTACTGAGAACAGCCTTTCCCGAGCCTCTTTGGAACCTCCCTTCAGGAAGTTGAAGGCTGCTATCAAATCCCCCCTCACTCTTTGCTTCTGCAGACTAAATAGACCCAACTCCCTCAGCCTCTCCTCGTAGGTCATATGCTCAAGCCCCCTAATCATTTTGTTTGCCATCCGCTGGACCTTCTCCAATGCATCCACATACTTCCTGTAATTAGGGGCCCAGAAATGGACACAGTACTCCAGATTTGGCATCACCAGAGCCAAGTAAAGAGAAATAATCAGCTCTTTGGATCAACTGTCAGTGTTCCTCTTAATACAACCTAATATGCGATTAGCCTTCTTGGCTACAAGGGCACACTGTTAACTCATGTCCAGCTTCTCACCCACTGTAATCCCCAAGTCCTTTTCTACAGAACTGCTACTTAGCCAGTTGGTCCCCAGCCTGTAACAATGCTTGGGATTCTTCTGTCCCAAGTGCAGGACTCTACACTTGTCCTTCTTAAACCTCATCAGATTTCTTGTCACCCAATCCTCCAATTTGTCTAAGTTACTCTGGACTCTATTTCTGCCCTCCAGCGTATCTACATCTCCCCCCAGCTTAGTGTCATCCGCAAACTTGCTGAGGGTGCAATCCACTGAACCTTGGGGCAACCTGCTAGAAACCAACTGCCATCCTGACATTAAGGAAATTAGTTAGAGAAGTTGATTGGACCAAAGAAATTATGGACCTTAAAGTGGAGGAGGCCTGGAATTATTTTAAGTTAAAGTTGCAGAAGCTGTCAGAAGCCTGTATCCCTAGAAAAGGGAAAAAATTTATAGGCAGGTGTGTTAGACCAAGCTGGATGAGCAAGCATCTCAGAGAGGTGATTAAGAAAAAGCAGAAAGCATATAAGGAGTGGAAAATGGGAGGGATCAGTAAAGAAAGCTACCTTATTGAGGTTAGAGCATGTAGGGACAAAGTGAGAGAGGCTAAAAGTCAGGTAGAGGTGCACCTTGCAAAGGGAATTAAAACCAATAGAAAAAGGTTTTATAGCCATATAAATAGGAAAAACAAAAAAGAAGAAGTAGGACCGCTAATTACTAAGGATGGAGTGGAGGTTAAGGATAATCTAGGAATGGCCCGATATTTGAACAAATATTTTGCTTCAGTCTTTAATGAAGAGCTTAGGGATAATGGTAACTTAACAAATGGGACTAAAGATATGGAGGTAGATATTACCATATCCGAGGTAAAAGCCAAACTTGAACAGCTTAATGGGAGTAAATCGGGTGGCCCAGATAATCTTCATCCAAGAATATTAAAGGAACTGGCACATGACCTTGCAAGTCCATTAGCACAAATTTTTAATAAATCTCTAAACTCAGGGGTTGTACCATTTGACTGGAGAATTGCTAATATAGTTCCTATTTTTAAGAAAGGGAAAAAAAACGACCCGGGTAACTATAGGCCTGTTAGTTTGACATCTGTAGTATGTAAGATCCTGGAAAAAATTTTGAAGGAGAAAGTAGTTAGAGACATTGAGGCTAATGGCAATTGGGACAAATTACAACATGGTTTTACAAAAGGTAGATCGTGCCAAACCAACCTGATCTCCTTTTTTGAGAAAGTAACAGATTTTTTAGATAAAGGAAATGCAGTGGATCTAATCTACCTCGACTTTAGTAAGGCATTTGATACAGTACCACATGGGGAATTATTGGTTAAATTGGAAAAGATAGGGATTAATATGAAAGTTGAGAGGTGGATAAGCAACTGGTTAAAGGGGAGACTACAGCGGGTCACATTGAAAGGTGAACTGTCAGGTTGGAGGAAGGTTACTAGCGGAGTTCCCCAGGGATCAGTTTTGGGGCCAATTTTATTTAATCTTTTTATCACTGACCTTGGCACCAAAAGTGGAAGTGTCCTGATAAAATCTGCGGATGACACAAAGTTGGGAG